TGAGCGGTACTGCGTGTGGTGAGAATGTAATGGAGGAAGCCCGTAAGCTCTTCCCCGAGCACGGGCCTCTAGAGTGGACGGATCTGGTGGTGGACGGACTGGTGCCAGCCTTCACCTCCGAAGAGCTGCAGGAGGCGGCCGGGAGGTTGAGGAAGGGCAAGGCGCCGGGTCCGGACAAGATACCACCAGAGGTATGCAAGACATATGCCAAAGAATGTGGAAAAGAATGTCTGGAGGTCATGAATAGATGTCTGGAGGAAGGGGTTGTTCCCAAAGAATGGAAGGTGGCGAGATTGGTGCTGATAGAGAAAGAAAGAAAGGAAGGAGAGAATGCGAAATATAGGCCCATCTGTCTGCTGAACGGGATGGGCAAGCTGTACGAGGGAATGTTGGCCGCGAGACTGAGGAACGACGTTCGGAGGCTCGGTGGTCTGGCGGAGACGCAGTATGGATTCAGGGCGGGACGATCGACGATCGACGCCATGATGGATGCAAGGGAGTACGCCAGAGGAGCAAATGTAGGTACATGGGGTACTCGGCGGTTTTGTGTGATGGTGACTGTGGACGTCCGGAATGCCTTCAACACGGTATCGTGGAGGGGGATTCTGGAACGTCTGGTAAGTATGGGGGTGGAGCCGTATCTCGTGAACGTGGTACGGTCCTACCTGAGCGATAGAGTGGTTCAAACGGAGATGGGTGAATTTGAAATGACTGCTGGGGTTCCGCAGGGGTCGGTCTTGGGGCCGCTCTTGTGGAACATATTTTATGACGAGGTTCTAAGAATGGAGGTACCCGATGGGGTAAAGCTCATCGGGTACGCGGATGATTTGGCTGTGATTGTGATAGGTAAGAATGAAGAGGACTTGAGAGAAAGGACCGAAGAAGCACTGCGGCTCGTGGGTGCATGGATGGGGGACAACGGTCTCTCACTTGCACCCGAGAAGAGCGAAGCGGTGCTCTTGGTAGGGCGCAGAACGATACGCGGAATGAGTGTGTGTATGGAAGGCAGAGCGATAGAGACCCGTGAAGCGGTGAGGTACCTTGGGGTGGAATTCCAACGAAACCTCAGGGTGGCCGAGCAAGTGGAACGGGTGGTACGGAAGGCTAAGTTGGTTGTGGGTGCCCTGGGCCGATTGCTACCAAATGTAGGAGGACCCAGGGCGAGCAAAAGGAGAATGTTGTGCAGTGTCGTTCATGGGATTTTGTTGTATGGGGCGGAGGTGTGGATCGATGGATACCGCATACAGAAGTATCGACAGATGCTTCTGGGTGTCCAGAGAAACATGCTTCTGCGAGTGTGTTGTGCGTATCGCACGGTGTCCGGAGAGGCACTGTGCGTGCTGGCTGGGGTCCCTCCGCTGGATTTGCTGGCGGAAGAGCGTCTCCAGGAATGGAAGAGGAGGAAGAACGAAAGGGTGAGGGAGTCGAACTCGGCTCCCTCAGTGGCATGCAAAGGTGAGGCGAGAAAGGATCTGATGCAAGCGTGGTGCGAAAGGTGGAGGCAGACGGAGAAGGCCGCCTGGACAAGGCGGCTAATCCCGAACCTCACTGAATGGGTCGGCAGGGGGCACGGGGAGGTAAACCACTACACCTCCCAAGTGCTCACTGGCCACGGGAGTTTTGGGGCCTATCTGAAGAGGATAGGCAAGATTGAATGCTCAGCTTGCTGGTATTGCGAGGAAGGAGTGGAAGAAGATGTAGAGCATGCGATATTTGATTGTCACAGATGGACGAGAGAGAGAGAAGAATGTGAAGTAGAATTGGGCATGAGGGTGAAAGTTGATAACATGGTTGGGAAGATGTTAGAGAGTGAAGAAGGATGGAAGGTAATAGAACGGATGTTAGTTACAGTAATGAAAGCGAAGTGTGAGTATGAGAGAGAGAGAGAAAGGAGACAGGAAGTGAGAGATGAATGAATGGAAAAAAAAAAAAAAAAAAAAAGACGAAAGAGGAGTGACATCACCAAGAGACACAGATATATAAAAAAAAAAAAAAAAAAAAAAAAAAAAAACCGGAAGAAACTGTTAAAAAAAAATAAAAAAATCAAATAACACGGGAAAAGATGAAAGGACGAAAAAGCAGGAGAGAGAGAGAAGAAAAAACAGGAGAAGACGACAAGATGAAGAAGAAGCTACGACCAACCACCCCTCTGAAGTAATGCTAACGCGGTTCCAGGGGGGTAGGAGAACACCTGGTCGAGGAAGGGGTTTTAGCCGGTAAGAGTCCAGGCACTACCAGAGGCGATCGAACCTAAGTCTCTGGTGCCCATGAGGGTTTCCCCTTCCATAGAAAAAAAAAAAAAAAAAAAAAAAAAAAAAAAAAGGTCAAGTCCGCTCGGCTCGGCTCGGGTCGGGTCGGGTCAGGTCGGCTCGGCTTCGGTCAGGTCGGGTCAGGTCGCGTCGGGTCGGGTCGGCTCGGGTCAGGTCGGGTCGGGTCGGGTCGGGTCGGGTCGGCGCGGGTCAGGTCGAGTCGGCACAAGTCGGGTCGGGTCAGGTCGGCTCGACTTGGGTCAGGTCGCGTCGGTTTGGGTCAGGTCAGGTCAAGTCGGCTCGGGTCGGGTCGGGTCGGGTCGGGTCAGGTCGGCTCGGCTTGGCTCAGGTCGGGTCAGGTTGCGTCGGGTCGGCTCGGGTCGGGTCGGCTCGGGTCGGGTCGGCTCGGGTCAGGTCGGGTCGGGTCGGGTCGGGTCAGGTCGGGTCGGGTCGGGTCGCGTCGGGTCGCGTCGGGTCGGATCGGGTCCGGTCGGGTCGGGTCGGGTCAGGTCGGCTCGGCTTGGACAATTGCGGAACCGTCTTAACATGTTGTGCGAGACCAGAAAATCAACAACGCGCCTCCGATCCTCGCAACGCACCGCAAGTTGTCGCGGCGAATTCGTACAACCCTCACACGCCATTATGAACAATTAATACAATTGACATATGTCATTAAAAGCCGCCAATTAGCTTCCGCAGAGGCAAATGATGGTTTATGTCTTTGATGTAATTTTTATTATTATAAAAAAATTTAAAATTGAAAGCATTCCGAATTATTAGTGAATTATTTAAAAGATTCGCGGTCGTTTCCTTTACATTCGAAATTACAAAATGCACAAGTGTAGAAAATGTGACCGTCTGTCAGTAGCTCCACGTGGTTGAACTACCGCTAACTTCATTCAAAACAAAATCGGAGAAAATGACATTTGTGCATGTTTCTTACAGTTGTGATTATAGGTTATGTTTATAAAAAATACAAACAATATTAGTGGTATTATTCTATTTTAGAATATAATAACCGCTATAACGTGGAAATTTGTGGAAACAAAGTCGAGAATTCGTGGAAACGTTATTCGCAATGGTTCTAAAACGATTAATTCCGTGTCATATTGTGAAATAAATATTTTCGCCAATGATGTTCCGTGGCCCCGAAAACTACCTCCAACTTTTTAATGGTACATTTTTCCACTTCTCCGACACCGGAATTGAAATTATTGAAGGTTTCTGAGTAAGTTTAGTAAAAAATTTTCTTCGTTTCATGTATTTTTAGCGTTTGCCCCGCTTCTAAACTGTTACCCAAAACAATAATAAACACCAGTTCTCAAACTCCTTGTACGCCTTTTTATATTTTTTCTTTGATTTCTTGGGGCACTAGTGAATTACGTGCCAGTGTGGCTGACTCTTCAACATCAAAAGATACTGATGCAACATCATCTTCCAACATTTTTACCTCAAGAAACACCCAAAACACTTCAAACGTTGAAAAATTGCAAAATGTTGCGTTGTTTGTTTGTATTTTCCATGACAACAAATTTATTGCATTACAAGGGACTTGATACTTTATCATTCAATTCAATTTATAATGAAGAGTTTTTTTATCTAATTTTACAAAATCTTGTGTGCAATTTGATAGAAAAAGTGTCTTTCCACATTCACAACATGTTTTTGATCTCGACTTCGTCTGGATCAAAAATCTCATGTCTAGAATGTGGAAAAATGTCACTTTTCCTATCTTATTGCACAAATAGCTATTGTAGGAGCTAAGCGAAAGATATGGCTTTTTGTAACAAGAGTCAGAGATGATGTAACAGAAGAAACTGTCAAAAACTATGTTTCAAAGCAATTGAAAGAAGAAGAACCAACTATAGATGTCGAACAAGTATCACCGTATCATAAAACAAAATATAGTAACTGTTTCATTACATTATCGGCGTGCCATTTCAACACAAATCAACCGCATATGGAGAAAAATTTTGGCCAAATGGAATCTGTTTTAGTCGATGGTTACACAAAAACATACATTTCGGGGACAAGACGAATCGTAAATTTTTCTTAAAGTAAGTTAGATGATAAACTTAAAATGTTTTTGGAGGAGTGTTTAGTATTTAGTGGTCTTTCTAAAACCGATCAGAACGTTTATTTTGGAATTATTTTTATTTTATTTGTTATTGTTAATTTTGATAGTATTTTGAAAGTTTATTTTTTGTTTCATTTGGCATTTTTAATTTTCCTTTTATAATAATTTTTCAAATTGCTACATTTTTTAAGTGTAGCTTATCTCAAAGATTTAAAATTTAACGTTTTGTCTTCATGTTATTTCAAAATCTTTACATGTTGGGATCATTATTTGACGTAGTGTAGTTCTACAAACTCCTAACAAATCCATTTATGTGCTGAACCGTTTTTTTTGCTCCCCTTTCCTCTTCTGGCAAGAGTCTTTGACGTTCTCGTTGGTTCTTGCTGAACGACATTGTAAGTCATATTTATAATATACTAGCGGAACCCGGCAGACGTTGTCCTGCTTGTGTATATATTTACTTTGTATATATGTGGATATAAATGTATGATCTGGAGCGCAGAATGCGTTGTAGAAAACTGAATAATAAGATAACTCATATTGATGCTATTCCATTTATTTTCATTAGTATACATTTTTGTATTTAGTAATTCACGTGAATGAACAAAATTTTTGACTATTGTATTCGCTATATAACTGAAACAACTTGAAAACATTTTAATCAATACTAACATCTATCGTAACGCTAGTGGGTAAACAATATTTTTGGTTTTTCGATTTGGTGTATAGACGTACAGAGTTTTTGGAGTTCCTACTCTGGAGCAAGCAACATACAGTTGACCATGCGAAAAACATGGATTTCCTAAATTTAATCCGGCAACGCGCAGAGACTGCCCTTGGGCTATGTTGATTGTCATCGCGAAAGCAAGACGTACAGGAAACTGTAGTCGTTTGAATGTAAAGGGTAAATCAGTAGGAACCATTGGAATGCGCGGAATCAGCACATCTTCACCTTTACATTTGCCGTTAATTATTGTTGCTTCAATCACATTCGGCATCAGTTTTTTCACTGAAAGTCTGGTTCCATTGCATAACTTCGGGGTATTGAGATTCCGAAGGAGCAGTATTGGTGAGCCAACTTTTAACGTCAGTATGTGCGGTGGCATTCCAGGAGGCTCCAACGAATTGAGAAATTCGACTGGATAATTTACAGCTTGGTCCTCTTCTGTAACTGTGTCAATCGATTTGTATTCCGTAATCACCCCAGGAATTTTTAATTGAATCTTATTATTGATTCGATTGACATCATCATTCTTTGGAGCTAAGATAGCTCGCTCGCAAAGCCAATCATGATTTCTAAAGTTGTTGGCGATGTTTGAGAAAACTCTCTCTTCAAGTTCTTCAATTGATGACTGAAGTTGACAGAAGTTCGGAGGAAACGCTATCTTCTGTGTTGTAGGATCAGCCAAAAGTTTGCCGTCGCCGATATCCAAAAGTTGTTTGGCAAATATTTGTGCAGAAACATCTCCAAGTAAATGCACACGCATATTGGTCGACAGTGTAATTTTTTTCACATGTCTCCAGAGAGACGAATTTTTCAGGCATGCATTCAACTCGTCTGCTGGTGTTGATCTAGGAATCACGGGCAAAGTTTGACGGAAATCACCTGCGAGCAGGATCAGAGCTCCGCCCAGTGGACGTTCATCGCTTCGGAAATCTCGCAGAGTTCGATCAAGTGCTTCAAGTCCTTTCTTATGGGCCATAGTACATTCATCCCAAATAATCAGTTGGCATGTTTTCAATACAGTTGCCATTCCAGTTGTTTTTCCAATGTTGCAAAGAGGATCAGCAGCTAGATTTAAATTCAATGGCAGCTTGAGAACCGAATGCGCCGTGCGTCCTCCATCGAGTAATGTTGCTGCAATCCCCGACGATGCCACAGCCAAAGCAATCTCATGTTTCATTCGAATTTCGGCGAGTATCAAATTTTCCTGTGCCTCCTGGTGCATCAAGAAAAAGAAGTCCACCATTTCCGCCTCGCACATGCACCATAATTGTGTCGTATGTAAGTCGTTGATCGTTTGTTAAGAGCCTTTTCTGAGTTTCAACATAAACTTGTAGCGCATCGACGTCGTATTGTTTTTCTCGCAATACGTCTCTATCTATAACATCGTTTCTGTCACGTTCCGGTGAAAACAGCCCAAGCTGATTGAGGATTTTGTTGTTAATCGACATACACACATCCTCAAGTGATATCAGTGCTTCATTGAAAATGACTTCCGAATACTGTACATCCAAGCCGGGATTATTTCTGCGTGCTCGGAGAAGTATGTCTTCGCTCATACTCTCTTTGTGTTTTTCCCATAAACCTTTCGGATCAGAAGGTGCGCAGGTAGTCAAAATTATGGCAAACAGAGTTCGTATTTGATGGGCATGACGTGTCTCAGATGCTTCTGCTAATGTGTTGTCCCAATGTTGATAATTTTCAAGCAAACCAAGTTTAAAACATGCTTCTCTCTATGTCTCACACTCTTGACCATCGATTGTTTTGATTGCTTGAAACGATGTTGGTCCTTTGACCACGTGAAGCAGCATTCGCAAATAGTAGCATTCACCATTATTTGGATGAACAGTATATACTCTTCCCAGTGCACCAGTAGAAAATATGCCAGCTATAGAAGAATTCCTGGCGCCTCGTTTTCTTCTGCAAAATTTCTTCGTCGATTGATTCCAAGTGTAGTACTGCGGGACTTCGTGATACATTAATGTTTTTGCGAATTCGTCAGTTGCACACAATTGGAAAAAAGCGGTCAACGTTGTATTTGGTGGATCTGCAACTCGTTGGGGTGCGTTGTCTTCCGTGAAGTAGACTCGTTGACCGTTTTCCAAGTGAACACTGAGATGCATGACAGCAGGAAAGCGTTCATGAATGTCGAAACCAAGAATTCTCCATACAGCTTCATTACTGCTAATGTAACGTCCCATTTGAAATTGCTCGATTTCATTGACGGGCGCATTGGGATTCGCAATTCCGAAAATTGCCATATCGCTGCCTTTATTCACGTATTTGCATATGTATTTTATTGCCTTAACTGAATTACAGGACTCCACGTTGATATGTGCATTGACTGATTTCGAAAAGATAGGAGAGTAGGGCACAATCCATCGGTTATCAACTTCGAAATCAACGTTCTTGATTTTGATAGTTGTGGTGTATCCTCCATCATCTGGTTTTCGTCGTCTGTACAACGGATAACCGTCGCCACCAGTTTGTGTTTCTTGCAGCAGCTGGCATGGATACTTTTTGGTGCATTTTCCGTCTTTCATGCATGGCGAGTGTGGGTTGTGTCCGCCACATGGTCCGTGAATCATATTTTTTGTCACAATTTCAAATAATTCTGGATCTTCTTCTACGTTGGGCAGCTCAGCAGTAATGATATCATCAATTTGAGTTGGAACAATTTTTTCAAGCAACCAAATTAAGATATGAGCATGTGGTAGACCTCTTTTCTGCCATTCGATGGATATGGTTCTTAGTGATGAGATCCATAAAACGTATCAATTTTTGTTTGAAAACTCTCGCTGTGAGGTCATGCCGATCAGATGGTTGCTGGCCAGGCAAAAGTAAATCTTTGATTTCACACCAAGGTGGATTGCACGTGAACGTGATGAAAAGATCTGGACGTCCATATCTGCGAACATATGTCAGAGAATCCTGAGCATATTCTTGCATATGTCTTGGACTTCCAGTATACGAAGCTGGAAGTATAACCGTTTGTCCAATATTACCAATTGTTCCATCATTCGCGATTGCATCTCGCAAATGAATATAATCTTCGACTCGAAGCTTCGATTGATTGTAACGAATGTAATTGAGTCGTTCGCTTTCGACTTTGGCGTACATATCAACGATGAATTGTTGAAAAACATGACGACACTTTAAGATATGGTTGGATTGTTCGGCTCGAATCATGATGCGATATGCATAAAAATCCATACAACTGATTTTTTTCGTTGTCGCAGCACCTGTGACGGGATGAGTTTGATACAATTCGAGATGATAACCGTCTTCTCCTCGCGGAAATAGAATTGGATATTGAAGTGCGTCGTACGATCGATGTGTTTCAGCAATACCTTGCTTGGTTTGATTTCGCCTGCTGATAACAATATCTCGCCGAGTAATTTCTGTACCGACAATTACAGCTGCTACTTCAGGGGCTATTGGAGCATTGAAGCGTCTTTCATGCTCATTCGATGGGGTTTTGTCTGCTCTGATAATGAGTTTGAAGTCATCCGCTCTTACATTCTCCAATGCGGATTTGAAATCTCGGACCAAACAGTTGTGCTCGTGGAATAATGCTCGTAATTCAGCAATAATCTTTCGATCTGTTGCTATACTAAATGCGCATCGTCGATCAATCTCCTTATCCACATTGTCCATGAAATAAATTTGCAAAAATTGCGGATCTTCTTTGGATACTGGAAGGAGTGAACCAATCTGATGATACACTTGTCCTTGCACTTTAAATGTGGGCATAAAATTATTATATCTCACAATATTCGTCGCTCCAAACGATGTCATCTGAAAGCATGAGTTGTATTTCCGAATATGCTGTAGAAAGTGTTTAGACTTCCGAGTAACTCCAGCAACGTAAGTGAGCAGTGGTTCTGGTGGGTACCGCGTCAATTCGTCGTGCACAATTCGTCGCGCGACAATTGATCGCAAACAACTGATCGCAGCGTCAATTGGTCGCAGCGACAACTGGTCGCAACGACAACTGGTCGCAGTCACAATTGATCGCAACACAATTCGTCGCAAGTACAACTGGTCGCATGCGACAATTGATCGCAGGCGAAAAATGATAGCGTTTATAGAGAAATAAGTAATTGTTATGAATGAGGAAAATAAATTAATGTGCTATATTCTCAAAAATTTCATTATTTCTAAAAATAGTGTCAAAATAAATACATACGAGTTGCATAAAAACGGTAACTATTAGGCTCATTTCCGACTAAACCAAAGTGCAAAAAAGTGAAAATATTGTAAAATATTTTTTTTAATGCTGACACATCTCGTCGGTATGCTACTGTAATGTTCATTTGGATTATTCGTCTTATTGATTAGACGCTCAAGTAAGTGATTCAAGCTTTTCTTCTCACAAGTTTAAAGTTTGTCAATTAAACGAGTGAAAAAATAGCTTTCAAAACGTGTTAGACGTCATTTTTCTTTAATAAAAAATGGTTTTAAAATTATTACAACTGTCAAATTAAAAAGTTATAGATAAATCGTGAAAAAACTCTCGTTACAGTTTTAAGTGAAAAAGTATTATTTTCATTACGTTTGATAGTTTAAAAAATTAAATATATACCTATATTTTTTAATAAATTTGCTGCAAAGAAATTTTAATTTATATATTAACAATTAATCTTGGAGTTTATTGCATTCTTTGCAGACAATTTTTTGCTCACTACAAATTAGTTCTGGATTATCTTTAATCCATGATAAAACCAAAGATGTTTTTTCATTCAGAACTTTTTTGAACGCTCACACGCTTATTAACAAATAAGGCTCTTGTAGATACGACAGAATGAATAATTTATCTCGTTCCCTTTGCTAAGTACCTACATACCAATCTCCACTTTTACGCCATTTCTGTAAACAAGATCGTAAAAAGATTAGTTTTGACCATGGAGCAAAGGAATATACTCATACTGGAGGAAGTGCCAGACTTAAAATGATGGTTTCGAGCCAAACCGGTAAAAAAACAGTACCCCTCATTACCCAGATAAGACTGCCGATGACAGTGACGTACAATTTTTTTTTTTTGATGCGGCTCATGGAATAAAATTTGTTGAATAAAACAACGCACATAACAGATTTATATTCTCTATTAATTAATATTATTTAAAATATTTAAATCAATCAACACATCACGAGTAACAAGTAATACAAACAGTGAATACCGTTAAAAAGTACAAACAACCAGGATGACGACGCCACTGAGTAGTGGTTATTCGCAATGGCGTGACTAATTTTTAGCTTAGGAAGTTTGAAAAGTTTTCACTCGGAAGGCCGACTATTCACTCAGAATTATTTGCCTAATCTGCCGGATGTAGGTGGGCTTCTCCAGCCCATGTTGTAAATTTTTGTAGGATGCAAAGTGCGGAGAAGAATAAAATCAGGTAGCAGCCCGTAGTAGGGTCATTCATGGAAAACTGCGAACCAATTATTTCTTCCTTTTTTTTTTAGATCTGAGAGCTGTTTTACACGTCACAGAAATATCTATCGTAAAAGGAATTTTTAGAAATAATTTTCTCGTCATTAATCGGTTGCAAAAGATCAAGAGGCACTCGAAGCAAGCCCTGACAAACTTATTAGCGGCGCCAGCGGAGATCTCCAATTGGCTGCGGTACCACCATGGACACTCGCGTAACCTCCTTTTCCAGAATTGTCAAAATGACATTGCCAAACTCAAAGCAATCATGAATTAAGCATTTCATTTTAAATTCTGTTAGTAGCAAGTGGTACATGGTATTCGTATTTTGGGTTGCGTAAAAATAATTTTCAGAAATAATTTTCTCGTGACTAACCCTGTATATGTATTTTTTACACCCACATATGGTACAACTGAATTTTTCTTCAGTACAATACTAGTCACATAATAATAATTAAAAAATAAGTTTTTAGTTGCATAAGTACCTACATTTCTTAGATTTCCCGGTAACACAAAATTATTCTTGACGCTCTAACAAAAGTTTTTGCAATATACTCGTATATTTACAATACACGTAAACCCTGTAAAAGATCCGTTGCAATTTACAAGGTATTAAAATAAGTATTATATATCCGTCCAGTGGAATTTATATTCGCTGCATATGGATACTCTAGATGTACTATTAGTTCATAAATTTTATTGTTTGGTGATATGTATAAAGACAAGAATAGACAATAGAGGCAATTCTGTATCAAAATGTGTTAAAATTTAAAGGTTGTTAAAAATATGATTTTTTAAATAACTGTAATCTAGTTAAGAACAATAAACACTTGTTTTTATGTTGAGTACTTATTATAATGAAGCTAGTTCCTATAATATAATAGGTAAAATAAGAAACGAGATAAATAGAAACAATCTCTTAAAAAAAAATAACCAAAATGACAATTTATTAATAAAAAATCTTATGTAACAAGGTGTTTACGCTCGTATTTTTTAATTTTTAAAGTGCAACTACAAACTTCGTCACTTATCTATATTCAAATTGTTTTTAATTCGATATTTACACCTTACCTGGTTGCTAAATTTATTGCAACTTAAAATTCAGAATACAAAATATTTCGTTTTAATAAAAGAAAATACTTCCCGATGAATTTTACCTTGCGATCAATTGACGCTGCGATAAATTTACGTACGATCTATTGTCGCTGCGATCAATTTACGTGCAATCAATTGTCGCCGCGATCAATTGTCGCGTGCGACCAATTGTGCTGCGACGAGTTGCTTGCGATCAATTGTCGCGCGATCAATTGTTTGCGACCAGTTGTCGTATAATCTTCTGGTGGTTCAGTCAGTGGTGGCAAATTGATTTTGCCATTGGAGCAACACATGCCAGGCGCTTCTTTTTGAAACTTCAAAGCGCGACAGTGACCAATGACAACATCGCGATGCATTTTGTAGTCATAGTCTTTATCGTAATTGAACGCTGCTTTCTTGAGATCGATTCTTGTTCTTAGTCGAGTCTGGCGTGAGCGTTCTGCTTCACGTCGTCTGTCTCGCTCTTCTGGTGTTGCAGAAGCTCTTGACGCAGACGCTCTTGCTCGAAGATCTTCAACACGTACGTCATGCTGTTGTGATGTTTCGGCAGCTCTTGACGTAGAAGCTCGCACTCGCAAGTTTTCAACTCGTGCATCTCGCTCTTCAGATGTTTCGGTAGCTCTTGACGTAGACGCTCGCACCCGCAGGTTTTCAATTCGTGAGTCTCGCTCTTCGGGTGTTTCGGCAATTCTTGAAGTAGAGGCCCTGATCCGGTCAGTTTCCAGTCGCGCGTTTCGTATTTCAAAGGTTTCACCAGCTCTACTGGCTGCCACTTGCTGCGCATGTCTGGTTGATCTTCCAATGTTTGATTTTTTGGGTGGCATTTTCAATAATCTCCAGTCATTAGACAAATGACTCGTCTACCAACGAAGACAATGTTGTCATTGATGCCGCTGATTCTCTAATTTCATAATGCTTTGACAGGTGCAGAATCAGCCAACGCGATCTATGTTTCAGCAGCTCTACTGGCTGCCAGTTGCTGCGATGTCTGGTTGATCTTCCAATGTTTGATTTTTTGGGTGGCATTTTCAATAATCACTAGTAGTGAAATATTCTCCATGGTCAAATACCAACGTATATCAATTTTCATGAGGATCGGTTGATTGGTACAGAAGTTGATGTGTTGCAGCGCCATCTAGTGGCGACTTACAGCAAAATGGATAGGGCGAAAATATTCTCCATAGTCAAATGCCAACGTGTACCAATTTTTATGAGAATCGGTTGAACGGTGTAGAAGTTGATGTGCTGTAGCGCCATCTAGTGGCTAGTTACAGCAAAGCGGATACCACAAAAACCTTCTCCATGAAAAACCACTTACATGCTTAGATCATATAATAAATAGATACCAATACTCAAACTGAAAGCTGTGACTAGACATGAAGCTATCTGTTGTCGTTTTCTACGTCAAGAAGAGTAGTATAATGCTATCCTTGTGTGATCACCACATCTTCATCTTTGTTAGATGCATTTCATCTGTATATGTCTATTTCACTTCTATCCTTGTACCGCACCAGCACAACAAATCGCTTTTGACAGATGTTTCTTCTAACCTCTCTTTCGAGTTGTTGTACAGAAAACAATTTTAGAATTTAGAACAAAGATCCTATTTTAAGTGATGTAATCATAAAGGATCACAATTGCTGCCCAATAATTTACTATTCCTTTCATTATCTACTGTGAATTATTTATAAAATCAAGCTGTCAACATCTTTCGTACGAAGTTAGTTCAGACATACTTCCTAAAATTTAGGCGCGCAAAATTCAAATAGTGATCAGGCAAGGATAGCTTCATTGTAATCCCTCCATGCACGAGAGAGATGTGTGACAGGAGGATGTCGTCACAGGCTCTGCTAGGGAAAGAATACGGCATGGTGGTATCTATTTATTATATGATCTAAGCTTACATGTGGCAAATTTCATGGTGATCGGTCAAACGATTTCGGAGTCTATCGATCACAGATATATATATATATATATATACCAACATCCATTTTTATATATATAGATACCAACATCCATTTATATATATATAGATGTGTAATATACATAAAATATTTGTTATATTATATTGACGGCAGCACCAAAACAAAAACACATTTCATTAAAATGATTATATAATGTATATATATATTTTTCTCATACATGTCATAACCTATCTATAATGCTTTGCCAATCCATCAAAAATCACCACGAACCGCCACTGATTACATCCTAAGTATGTTAATAGCTATTACCACTTCATTTCGCTTTTAGCTACCATTACTATACACTATTTAAGACATTTCACCTTAGGGTTTAATCTTGCACCTCACTAATTTACTTTTGTTTTCTGGAACAAATGGACCGTGTCATGGGTACACAATGTATTAACATTATCCTAATTTATAAATATGCTAATCTGATGAATAACATGCCAACCTATGATAGGTTTAGCGGAAGACTCAACTTTGCTCGATAGAACAAAACACTCACGGGGGCATGTTACTGCCAGTGCTTGTATTATTTAATATTAAACACTGTGTTCACTTAATATATTTTAAATAAAGTAATAGCATCAAAATGGAAAGGTATGCTAACCCAGCACCAACCTGCTAAATTTTAAATTATACATGATAATAACGTTGACGTTAAACCACGAACTAATTAAAAGAGACAAATACTTAAGTATTAAGTATACACAGAGTGCATCTGGTTCAAGTGCATAATAAAATGTTGATTATGTTTACAGTCACGAAGCACTACGTCAGATTCAACAAATGAATAATAACATTCAGTTTGAATTCAATAAATTTGTAAATTACGTTGCACAAATAATATTTAAAAAATATGCAACACTAATAATCGCTTACCGCATTAAAGTAATTTTAGTTACTAACTAGTCTCATACGTTGAAGGATAAATTAACACCAAAATGAATTCAATTAATTAATAACTCCTGAACATTAGCACTTTACAAAACGTAAAAAATTAAAGAGGCAGAGAAACATTTTAGGTAATAAAGGAAATTTAGTTAATGCAGGACAGCGACACGTGTAATATCCTTCGCTTCTTTTATTGTTTGGCCGTAAAGCACCTTGCAAAACACTGAATTAGTAAGGAAGACTAATGAAAATGAGACTATGAATAATTCAACAGCAGGACAACCCTTGAGATCATTTAATAAGTATGGCTGCCACTGCTGCAAATAAGAGAATTGTATTAAACAGACAGCATATCGAAACCTTAAGCAGACATTGATGTCTCGATCAACGACAACTTCAAGTACGTTAACTATTGCTAATAAAACTACAAAAAAGTAGAATCTACATTTACAGTATAAGCAGTGTACAAGTATTTGATCTTTATAATAACTACTATTCGAAAATTACAGTTTAGTTAAAGATATCTTGATGAACGAGGAAACAGCAGTTGCAAACTGTTTTTTTTTCGATATCTTAAAAATCCTTAAATTGGTTAGGAGAACTAATTACTCCACCATTGCAGTTGCTTAATAAAATGAACTCTCTCATCGGTTGACATGGTTAGCTTCGCCTAACTCCCGCAGCTTTCTTTTATCTAGCAGCCAAAACCCGATTATAAAGTTTGAATGGTTTCTGGTATGACGACAGTTTTGGTCCTCTAGAATGCTTCAACTTCACTGTGAACTCATTAACTCAAAGTCGAATGACTTTGTTCAAATCACCCAATGTAGGAAAAATCTTTTCATGCATTTCTTTCTCAGTTTCCCCTTCCAAAAAGAAGAACTGAATTACACTACGAATTGCATTTTTCTCCTTTTCTTAAAATAACTTGACACATTAGTTGTCAATTAATTCCTAAATATAACTTTTTCTTTAAGAGTGTTTAACAAGCAAGCAGTACCCCCGCCCACCCACCCCCTCTTCATTCCAGTAACTACTCTAAATATTGTACCCGCCCTCTATTTTTTTAGAAGGTGTTATTTGCCAAAATCAGTATTATCTTACCAGATACTAGCCCCGCCCGCCCACCCTATTCTCATTTTAACAATTTTATTTCTGTCCATCAGTATAAAATCCACCTTTCATTCAGATACAATGAATTACTAAAATAAAGACGAGGTAAGTGGGCGGAGTTAATTATATGTTCTTCTGTAAAATGGTAAGAAGCTAATCAAACCTGGGCTGTTAAAAAAAGAAGAAAGAACGATAATCGTAATTTTTTGTTATACTATTTGCTATAAAAATACATTTCTTATTTCAGAAGAAAAAAAGAACGGGTGGGTGGGTGGGGCTAAGCTTAACTTTTTCTTACAGAGACTTTTATAAGTAAGCAGTAGCCCCGCCCACCCATTCCCTCTTCATTCCAGTGACTGCTCTAAATATTGTTCAGTCTTACAAGTGATAGTCCCGTCCACCAGCCCTGTATGTTTTAGAGAGTGTTATTTGGCAAAATCAGTCTTATCTTAGCAGGTACTAGCCCCGCCCATCCGCCCTATTCTCACTTTAACGATTTCATTTCTGCTCATCAGTATAAAATCCATCTTTAATTTAGATACAATGAATCACTAAAACGAAGCCGCGGTAAGTGGGCGGAGTTAATTATAAGTTTTTCTATAAAGTGGCAAGAAACTGATAGAACCTGGGCTGTTAAAAAGAGAAAAAAACGCTAATCCTTTTTTTTTATTACACTATTTGCTATAAAAATTCATTTCTTATTTCAAAAGAAAAAAAACGGGTGGGTGGGCCGGGCTAAGTTTAACTTTTTCTCACAGAGACTTCTATATGCAAGCAATAGCCCCGCCCATCCACCCCCTCTTTATTCTAGTAACTACTCACAATACTGTTAATTATTATCATCAAATCCAAAGATCATAAATCTAATTATTAATTTTTCACTACGAAAATTTTTGTTTTCAAGAAAATTTAATGCCTTGACTCAACGAGTTTCGAAATTTTTTCGAAATAATCTTGAAAGCTCAATTCGGTTAAAAAAAATTGAGATCACCATGAAGGAATTTAGAATTTTCGGAACGAAATTTCCAATTCTGTGGCTTAAAACAACTAGGGTAATTTTTTCAAAATATGTTTGAAAATATAATTTCCAAAATTTGTTTTCAGTTTAAAAAAATAATCCTATAATTTCAAAATCATTGTGGGTGGATTTAATTATAGGTTCTTCTGTAAAGTGGAAAGAAACTAATAGAACCTGGGCTATTAAAAAGAGAAAAAAGAACGCTAATCGTATTTTTTTTTTGTTATACAATTTGCTACAAAAATGCGTTCCTTATTTCAAAAGAAAAAAAACAACGGGTGGGTGGGCGGGGTTAAGTTTAACTTTTTCTTGCAGAGTCTTTTATAAGCACGCAATAGCCCCGCCCACCCATCCCATCTTCATT